ATATATATATATATATAATAATAATTATATATATATATATATATATGATGTATGTAAAATAAATTTTTAACTTAACGGTTAAATTTTTTTTTAAAATATTATTCTTGAATGATATAATAACTTGGATTATTTGTTCCCTCTCCTAAACGCTATTGAGATGGTAAAAGATGTTTACAAAAATTACGAAAATAATCTATTATATGGTGGTGAAATGGACATTATTGGATGATTGACGGTCAAAACCTCAAATGGTAATAATACTTGCTTGTCTAAAATGTGACTGTGAAAGGTTATTGACCGTAAAGGGTGTCCTTTGACACATGAGATGAACTCAAATTAGATGAAGCAACTCAACTCTTGGGTTTTTCTCCTTTTTCACAATTCTTCCAAGATAAAAATAAAACTAGTAAAATTATTATAAACGATCAATATATACTTATATCCTTTTTCTCACCTACCACTCTAGCTGTATTATATAAGACCAATCACTGTGCTTCAGTTTCTCACAATCTCAAAGCAAACACATACCATTTTCATATACTTTGGGATTTGTCTGCATTCTATTGCAATCAATACATTTAGCGTTATGGCCTCAAGCAAATCATTCATCACAACTTTCCTTCTTGCTCTTACCTTGTCAAGCATGAGCATGAGCCTTGCAACTCGCCCTCTTATGAAAACAATAACCACACCGAGTTTTGGAAGCATTCCCAGTTTGTCTAAACCAACATTCCCACCTTTGCCATCAGTCACAATATTTCCTAAAAAAACATTGCCACCTCTGTCACTCCCCAAAGTCCCGTCCTACCATTTCCCGTCCCCACCACCTCCAGCTGTCACTGTCTGAATCAATTGCTAATTTGCTACTCTTCCTAAATCAATAATGTTGGATAATTAAGCAACTATCCTTGGAGTTTGCCTTTCCCTTTCAAGCTACATTTCGTGTTGTTTGATCCATATATTAGACATGGGAAGATTATATTATGCACTAGTTGTGGAGTAGTATTTATTTTAATCTTTCATTTTCCTTTGTTGTATGCATTCGATTATTGTTTTTCTTCCCTCTTCTTACTTCATGTACTTGGACACCTGTTGCTACAAGATACAAGCCATTATAAATCATTATGCTACCTTGAATAAATATATACGTTGCTTTCCTAATTAAGTTGTTAATTAAACTCCATTAGTTAAATTCATATGGTATGCTTAGAATACTTTTGATAAATTCCTTAACCTGAGTATTTAGTATAGTTGTTGGGATACAAACAAGTCCCACATCAATAAAATAAAAGAAAAAATAACAACTTATAAAGCACACACATACTTTAATGTTAGAGTGACCTTTTAGATGATGACCAGAAACAAAATCAATAATCCTCATAAAATATCTCTTTAGACAAATACTATAAAATAACTACATCAATGATATTCATGTTATTTTCTTTTTCTATTTAAAGCCTTAATTTCTTTGGAGAAGAGATTAACGTTAATTCGTTAAATGAAATTTAATATTTGGAGAGATTAATTCTTACTTTTTGGATATGGATATTCTGATTTATAAAAAAATAAAAATTAAGTTTTTATACTATTCTACTTAACACAATTAAATTATCATATGTGATGTGTGGTGTTTGTGATTTGAGATAATAGATACCAAAATTTTAATTTAATTTTTTTAAATTATGTGTCACCACATTAATATTTTTAAGATTTTACGTCATTGATGAGACAACAGTTACGTGATATTGAAATAATTACTTTATGTTATTGCATTTGGATGACATAAATATTAAACAAACTTAATTATAGTTTTGTCTCCATGTAAAATTTTGATTTTTTGATTTATCATTTTATATAAATCTATTCTCTCAATTTTTAAATTATTAGAATTAAGTGTTTCCATAAATTTCTTTTTATAAAAAACTCTTTAATCTTTATTTTTTTTGCCCAAACAAATTAGAAATTTAGGACAACTTTGAGATACTAAATGATTTAAAAAATTGAGAAGCTAAAATTTTGATCAAAGCTAAAAGATGGAGGTTAAGATTTTGAAGGAGAAAATTTGAAAATTTAAACTTTGTATGAAATATAATATTTTGATTCGTGAATTTGAGAAAAAAAAAGTTTAATCTAAGTTAATAATGTCTTGATTGAAAATGAGAGTCTTTGATAAAAGGAATTAATGAACAAACTTGATCATAGTAATTAAAAAAATTGAAGGAATAAGGGCATTTCCAATGGAAGCAACTCATTTAAGTTGCTTCATACATTGAAAAATGAAAAAAAAATGGTTCTTAGTATGTCATGTCAGTATTAAGTAACTCAAACACAAATTAATTCCAATGATAAGAAACTTTAAGAAATTCAACTTTTAAATTTTTTTTTCTAATCATTTATGAACCAATTTTAATTTTTTATTAAAAAAGATAATTGCACTACAATAAAAGAAAATAAATTACGAGAAAAAAATACACAATAAGTAGATATTAAAAATAAAATAAAATAATAATAAATACATAGACATTATACGAAATTAATTTTCATCATTATTATTTTCGAAATATTTCCAAATATGTTCAATAAAATTTGCTTGAAATTTGGTAAGGAACGATTGTTTAAGGAAGCAACTCTCTCACTTCTTTGAACAATTCATGTTGCCATGTTAAAGTCCTCTAATGACAAGAAATCGGGACTTGAGTTGCTTCATTGGACAAGCAACTCTCGTTGGAGTTGCTCTAAAATAAATGGTATAAGACAATTAATATAGTGAATTTTCAACCGATCTAGTTAGAGTGTGGTCCTCCACGTAAGTCAGTAGTGGCTTTTATTGCGCTCACTTTTAACGTAATTGATTGTCGGCTTATTTGTTAGGGTGGGTATACCGATTAGCCTCACTTGTTTAAGGTGTGATTTATAAAATTTGTATTTTTATTAAAGTAGATTAATTATTTGTTCTTAAAATAAACGATTCAAAATTTTTTTGGCTCGCGTCTATTCAAAATGAACGAATTGATCTGCAAGCTCAAATTCAGCCCTGCAAGTCTTGTTATAGGTATGTTGCTTTTGAAGCATAGAAGGTTTGTTGAAATGATCAGTTTTGATTCGTGTAATTCTATTCAGTGAAGCAGTGGAACTGTAAATATGAATTTTCTGTTTGACAGGATTGAAGACTGTTGCGGGAAGCGTTACAGGTGGTACAAAAGATATACAAGAGATGATTGACTTCTGTGGTGCCAATGGGATTTACCCATAGAGCTCATTCCAATGGAGTATGCCAATGAAGCTCTCGAGAGGCTCATAAAGAGGGATGTCCAATATCGGTTTGTAATAGACATTGAGAACTCCCTAGTAATACTAGAGAAAATTGGACATGATTGGACTACACCTTGTTCAATAAATAATGATGCTCACCTTGGTATGCGAGTATTAGTTAGTTCCACACATTTAAGCCTATGTCGCTGTTAGTTAAGTAGTTATGGTTTTTGTCAACAGTTATCTCATACTAGTATCTCTAAGTGCTGTACATAAATACCAACCTTTTGTATCAGAATCATTTTAATCAATGTCTCAATTCTCTGTTCTCTGACGTCAGTATATATGCCTCTATTTCACAGTTTCTTACACTTCTTTCTCTTGCCTTTGTTAATAATATTTTTGTTTCAATTCTGTTGCTTCACATTATGTGATTCAATCTCCTTCTGCACTGGGCATAATCGTTTACGCAATGCACATACACATTCCAGTGATGTCATTATACAGTGTTGGCTGTGTAACATTTTATATCCTAATAAATTATTATTGGATTTTTCTCGTGATTGTTGCATGGGAAAAGCACATTGAATGCATGCATCTGTTTGATCCGTCATTGGATGCAAGCATCTGCTTCCACTAATTTGGAACGTAAAGAAAATACATGTTCAACTTACAACTAGAACATATGCATGTCTCTCGAGGGCACCATCACCATGTTCGGTAAGATTGGATGTGCCATCCCCTTCCTACCACTGGGAAACTTATGTATATATAAGTCCACTCCTTCTGGAGCAGAAATTACACCAAATTGTGCATAACTGTGTGTCACAGTTAACCACCATATTGTTCGATGAATGATACCCGTGCTAAATGTACAAATTACGAGGAAACGTCCATGGAAAAAGCAAAATAAAAATGTGTGATCTTAATGGACAGGTAAGATGGATCGTTGCTTGGCAGTGCTTAGTTCTAGGTAAGGAAGTGAGTGGTGTTTGGAAACAAGATTAAGAAAAATTTCTGATCAGAGGCTCTCAATGAGCAAATCCAACATGATGTCAACAATACTATACATCGACTATCCATGATAATCTAAATCGCCATTTCATTCACAAAAATAGAAATTTCACCCAAATGCAGCACCAGAAAATCAAGAATCTATGTACACAAATTCAACTTAATTTGTAAATCATATTCCATAGCACCAAATTCTTGTTAGGGTTATTTTATGGTATTTGTTTGAGGAGATATTTTATGGTGTTTGTTTTTTTTTTTTATAAAGGTTATTAGTTGTCACCAAATCTGATACTACTATTGGAGTTATTTTATGGTATTTGTCTGAAGGGATATTTTATGAGTTTTTTTTATAAGGTTATTATACAAACATACTCCACAATAATGAGATATTGTCTACCCAAAAAGTCTCTTTATTATTGAAGTATATTTATACTATATAAGTTGTCATTTCTTATTTATCGATGTGGGACTTATTTGTATCCTAACAATTCTACATCAATAAAAGTCATTCTGATATGAACATCAAACAACGACAAGTGAAACCCAAGTTCAAAATCTAGAAGTCTTAAAGGTTATATTGCTTGTGACTGGATAGTGGTGTAATTGTTAGAGTTGGACTAACGGATCTAGCTTCCGGTGCTTATTAAAGGATTTCAAGAGCTCACACTCAAACAACCAAATCTTCCACGGAAACAACTGGTTTAAACACTACAACAAAATTTAGGATTACTGATAATTATTTAATGGCAATAAATTAATTATCTCTATTTTATTATTTAATAAAAATATTAATGATTATTATATAATTGTCACTAAAAATATATTTACATCACATCAAAATTTATTATTAGTAACAATTATTTGTTAGAAAAAACTTAAGTTCCACATCGACCAGAAATAAAATAATTAAAGAGTATATAAGTGAATGATAACTCTTTATAACGTTAAGTTAGGCCTATAACTTATTATTCTAAATTGGTATTTAGGAGATAAGATAATTAAAAAAATTAAAAAATATATACTTAGAAGATAACCTTCATCTTCTAATTCTCACATCAATTATAAATAAAGTAACTAAAGAGTATTGTACTCATCTTACAAGTCCTACATCGACTAGAAATACGATAATTTAACAAATGACAAAAAAAGTTAATTATACACTTTTTCCGATCATTATGTCGCTAAATATTTTAGCGACACTATATACAATAGCTAATGTGTGAAATGCTAGTAAAAGATTTTGTAGCAATTTTTATTGTCACTAAAAGTCTATTTTATTGGAATGAAACTTAGTTCCAATCAATCCAAAATTTCCTTATTTTGCTGCTAAATCTAACAATTCCTTCATATTCAACAATTTTTCATTTCTGAAGAAACTAACAAGAAAATGATGACGAATGAAACAGGAAAAACAATGCACGGAAACAAAAACTGAAAATTCAGTAACACTACAATCTCAGGTGCAATTCAAAACTTTGTGATAATGTATCACGAAGTGGAGACGCACATTCACATAAACTGAATCCACAGCTACAATTACAGTAAACCATTTGAATGCACACTAAACAATTGAACATATCAAATCACATATCAACCATGCCACTTAATACAAATCAAGTCTCAAAACTCCCCAACAAAAAATAATACAAACAAAACTCTAAAAACTGCCCTATTTCAAATTTACCCTAGGCATGCTGATAAATTAATAATGGTGCAACTTGTATAATAACACTTTGCCTAAAGCGTTTCCCACAGCCATGAAAATTACGAAAATAATCTCATTTATATGGTGGTAAAATGGACTTTGGGTGATTGATGATCAAAGCCTCATATGGTAGTAATACTTGTTTGAATATTAATTGGGGGCTTTAATTTAATATTAGGCAACAACCTTATTAGTCCAATATAATAAAATGATTTATTCATGAAGGCGAACAAACGAAAAAGATTGGTATCTACTTTGAGCTCCCAACAAAGTTGAACTGAAACCATACAAGTTTGCTGAGTGTCTCATCACCTACCTCTCTAGACCTATATGGCTATTTAAGATCATGCACTATCCTTGAGCTTCTTACACAATCTCAAAGCAAAACATTGCAATTCCACTTGTTAATCCATTCAGATATGGCCTCAAGCAAATCATTCTTTACAGTTTTCCTTCTTGCTCTGACCTTCTCGAGCATAATCAACATGAGCCTAGCAACTCGCCTTCCCAGACCAAATTTTCCAAACATTCCCAGTGTGCCTAAATTAGCTTTGCCACCTTTGCCAATACAGCCTTATAAACCAACATTGCCACCTTTATCTGTCCCACCTCTTCCCACTCTTCCGCCAACTCCACAGATCACTCTTCCACCTTTATCAGTCCCACCTCTTCCCACTCTTCCACCAACTCCACAGATCACTCTTCCACCTTTATCTGTCCCACCTCTTCCCACTCTTCCGCCAACTCCACAGATCACTCTTCCACCTTTATCTGTTCCACCTCTTCCCACTCTTCCACCTTTATCTGTTCCACCACTTCCCACTCTTCCACCAACTCCACAGATCACTCTTCCACCTTTATCTGTCCCACCTCTTCCTACCATTTCACCTCTTCCCCCTTTATCTGTGCCACCTCTTCCTACCATTTCGCCTCTTCCACCTTTATCTGTGCCACCTCTCCCTACCATTTCCCCTCTTCCCCCTTTATCTGTGCCACCTCTTCCTACCATTTCGCCTCTTCCACCTTTATCTGTGCCACCTCTCCCTACCATTTCCCCTCTTCCCCCTTTATCTGTGCCACCTCTTCCTACCATTTCACCTCTTCCACGTATTACTTTTCCACCAACGCCACGCACCACTCCCTGAATGATTTTCTACTCTTCCTGATTCCTGAATCAATAATGTTGAATAAGCACTTATCATTGGAGTTTGGTTCTAGCTTCCAGTGATCATTAGCAGCATTTCGTGTTATTAGCCATGTAATGATGGTATATTATACATTTGTTGTGGAGTTTTTATTTTAATCTTTCATATATTTTTGTTTGTTCTTCCATCTATTGTATGCATTGGAATTGGATTATTGTTTTTCTCCCCTTTTGTTACTTCATGTACTTGGATATCTGTTGTTACAAATACACGCCATAATAAATCATTATGTTACGTTGTTACCTTGAATAAATATATAAGTTGATTTCTTAATTAAGTTGTTAAATTCCACTAGTTGAGTTATTTGTAATTGAAGAGTAACATGTTGAAATAAAAATCAAAGTCTCTTATCATTATTAAAATAAGAGAAAAAATAAAAATTTATAAATATATATATTTCATTAAAAAAAAGTTTTTCAGGTGATAAACAAAAGTAAAGTTATAAAAATTTAAATTTAAAGTAAACAATATCTTGATAATATAGAGTTGTGTGGTCAAATACTTCAAAAAATACTCAATAAATAACAATATATATAATATTCTCTCCTCTTCATTATATCTCTCAAAAAAATATAGACAAATCCAATAATGCTCTCTTCTCTTGATAATTATATCTCCCAAAAAAAAAATAGACAAATCCAATAATCCTTATTGAACATAACTTGATAAAATATAATTACAAGATTGAATTGATATGAGATACTAAGAGTACTTTTTGTATAAATTCCTTAACCAAAATATTTAATGGTATTCATGTTACATTCTATTTAAAGTCTTAATGCATGTCATTGCATTTGGGTGACATAAATAATAAATAAACTTAATTATATTTTGGTCTCCACAATGATTTATGCAAAATTAGATTTTTTTTTATCATTTTATATAAATTTAATCTCTCAATTTTTTAATTAATAGAATTAAGTCTTTCCATAAACTTCTTTTTATATAAGCCTCTTCATTTTTTTTACCCAAACAAATTAGAAATTTAGGACATTTTTGAGATTCAAAATGATTTAAAAGATTGAGAAGTTAAAATTTTGATCAAATATAAAAGAAGGAGGTTAAGATTTTGAAGTAGAAAATTCCATATTTTATGAAATATAATATTTTAATCGGTGAATTTGAGAGAGAAAATAGTAGTTTAAACTGATTTAATTGATTCGATGAAGTCTTGAGACTGAAAATAAGAAATTGAGAATTTTTTATAAAAGGAATTAAAAGAATTATCAACAAAAGTTTTGCCAACTTTAAATAAGTTTAAACTTTTAGCATAATACATAATTTTATACAAAAAGTCAGGTAAACATATGCAATTATTCTTGTGTTTTATATTCTTTCATACATATTCATTAGTCAATTTGTCTTCTAGAAATCTTTTAAAAAAAAAATATTGGTGGTTAACTCTATATAGAATCATCTTGTTCTAACATAAGTTTTTAATTAAAAAAAAACATATACATTGAACAAGTACGTGTCTAGTAGGTAACCGTGACACATAATGGCTAAGTTGCCAATGGAAAATCTAGATGTTGGCTGGAAGGCACGTTTTTCATGTCCAACTCTAAGGGGGACGTGCTACAAAACCAACGATAAGCACTTCTCACAGTGTACTCCAGGCATGTTTGGGCTTCTATCGTTGTATCTATGCAAGGGGTCATAAATCATATTCATAATCATAATAGCTTGCCTTCTATATATTCTCTGTAATCATCGAGATCCCAGATTCATTTTGTCTTCAATCTCTAATGCCAAAATGCGAGTGGCTTATGACTTATGAGCAAATCCAACAGGATGTCACCCATAGATCAACTATACATAATATTGAAGAAAAAAAATATAAGTCTCACATCAATTAAATATAACATAAACAAAAAGTCTGACGACTCTTATTTTATAAATCTCCAGATTATTTTATTAAGACATTATAGTCTGATTCGTCATTTTCATTCATAAAAATATATATTTCACCCCAATGCCGCACCAGAAAGGCTTCTTCGGAAGCAACTGCATTAATCATGGTTCCAATCAATCCAAAATTCCTTTATTTTGCTGCTTGCATATTCAACAAATTTTCATTTCTGAAGAAATTGACAAGAAAATGATGGCAAAAAAAAACACGAAAAACAATGCATGGAAATAAAAGCTGAAAACTCAGTAGCAATTTACGATCAAAGTCTCAAATGGTAGTAATATTTGTTTGCATAAAATGCATCTTTGAAAGGTTATTGGCAGTAAAGGGTGAACCAACTCAACTCATGGTACATTTCTCTCTTATACTATAAAATATGAGTTGGTCATCAACGTTTCAATATTAATTGTGGGATTTAATTTAGTATTAGGTAAAAACCTTATTAGTCCAATATAAGAAAATGAATTATTCATGAAGGAGAGCAAACGAAAAAGATTGGTATCTACTTTGTGCTCCCAACAAAGTTGAACTGAAACCATACAAGTTTGCTGAGTGTCTCATCACCTACCTCTCTAGTCCTATATGGCTATTTAAGATCATGCACTATCCTTGAGCTTCTCACACAATCTCAAAGCAAAACATTGCAAATTCTCTTGTTAATCCATTCAGATATGGCCTCAAGCAAATCATTCTTTACAGTTTTCCTTCTTTCTTACCTTCTCGAGCATGATAAACATGAGTCTAGCAACTCGCCTTCCCAAACCAAATTTTCCAAACATTCCCCACTGTGCCTAAACCAACATTGCCACCTTTGCCAACACAGCCTTACAAACCAACATTGCCACCTTTATCTATCCCACCTCTTCCTACCATTCCACCTCTTCCACAGATCACTCTTGCACCACCTCCACCCACCACTACCTGAATGATTTTTTTTTTTTTTTACTTCCTGAATTAATAGTGTTTAATAAGTAGTGACGGATCCAGAAAATTTGTTAAGTGGGGTAATAAAATAATTTATAATATTTTATTATTAAAAATATAATAATTTTTTTATAAAAAGTATATTTTTGTGATAAAAAATTTAATATACTTATTTTTTATAAATTAAAATATTCTCATCAATAGAGTGACAAATTCTTATTTTTCATTTTTGTTTGATATTATATTTAAGTGTGATGTTGTAATTTTTAATGACTTGTTTAATTTTAGAGAAAAAATGGTATAAGTTATTAAGATAAAGATAATATAGTTATTATTTATTTTCTCTTGTATCTCTTCTAAATTTCTATGTTCAATCAAAACAATAATATTTTACGAGAACAATGCCTATTTTTTTATAAGAGTAATTTTTTTTAGTAAATGTGTTTAAGTATAAATAAATAAAAACTTTGTGTGGCAATTACTATCATTTATCTTAATTTATATCCTCTCTTATCAATACATAATGTACATATACAAGATTAAAAGGGTTAAAAATTAAAATAAAAATTAAAAAATAACATATTTGTAAACTAAATTATGACATCTTTTAATAAATAAAAAAGTAATAAATTTTTCAGTCAAAAACTAAAATATATTATAATAATAAAAAAATAAGACAATTTTGTCATAAAATAAAAGAAATTACACAATAGAATAAAATATAAGTGAAATATTAATATATTTTAACATATTAGATATAATAAATAATAATCATTAAAAAAATATTACATATAGCCACTTTCAAAAAATATTATTATAGTCTATATTTACATATAATATATATATATATAAATAGTTTTTAGTGACAAGTATCATGTTTCTATAAAATGTATGTCATTACTTAATAATTTTTTTTAATAAATTAAAATATAATCTATATATGTAATTATAAAAAAATAAATAATATATATATAAATAAATAAAAAAGTAAAATTTTAGTGAGCAAGTGCCCCACTCTCATAAGCATGCATCCGTCCGTCCTGTCAATAAGCACCTAACGTTGGAGTTTGATTCTAGCTTCCAGTGATCATTAGCTGCATTTTGTGTTGTTAGACATGTGATGATGTTATATTATACATTTGTGTTGTGGAGTATTTATTTTAACCTTTCATTTTCGTTTTTTCTTCCATCTTTTGTATGCACTGGATAATTGTTCTTCTTCTCTCTTGTTACGTCATGTTCTTGGGCATATGTTGTTACAAGATGCAGGTTATAATAAATCATTATGTTTACTTTGAATAAATATATATGTTGCTTTCCTAATTAAGTCGTTAAACTCCACTAATTGAGTTATTTGTAATTATAAATCAAATTCTTGAATTAAAGAATAAATACGAGTTTATAAAATATACATATACTACATTTAAAGAAAAAAAAATTACCATCCCTACCGATTACATTCGAGTTCAAAAAAAGAAAAAGACAAAAAGAGAAGTGTGTATGAAACAAAAAGAAGTACATAGATCATAAGGAACTTATGTCCCTTTTGGTCATGATGTAAGCACCCTGATAGTTGAATTGGAGCACATTGAATTTGTCGAAGATGACGTGTTGAGTGCTTCTATTATATATCTACATGGAGGTTTGAGGGGAGACTTTATAATGGCAACGGAACGGGGCGGAGAGGGGGGAATAGTCGCTGGGATAAAATTTGGATCCTTATTCCTGCCCCCGGTAGAGTTCAGGTTTTCTCGCCCCGCTCTCGCTCTCGTTCCTATTTTTTTTTTCTTCTTTTTTTTCTTTTCTTTTTTTTTTAAATAAATGTGAACAATTTTTTTAAAAAAATAAAAGTAAAATAATATAAATTTTTACATATAAATATTTCGAATTTTAGTTTATATATATATAAAAATAATTTTTTAATTATATTATTAAACAGGACAGAGGCGGGGGCGAG